GTGGCCGGAAACGGCCAAGTCCAGTGAAGGGTCGGAAGAAATAGGTGATAAAGAAGAGAGATTACCTTCTTCGCCCTGCATGACCTAGGTCTCGTTGATGTTGGTGCTATCCATGGCAATACTTCGCAGATTAGCAACAGCAAAAGGGGAGAATTGAGGTTGTAGAAGAAGGAGAGGAATCTCGGAGATCAGACGAAGGTAGAAATGGGGAGCAAAACGTGAGAATGCAAAATGAGTTGCAACCCCCCGAGTGTAGGCTTGTATTTATAGTTGCTGACGGGAAGTCGAAAGGTTAAAGTGGCATCGGGAGTCGTAACCGTCAGGCCTTTTCGAAATTCAAAATGGCCGCCAAAACCGCACAATCACACAACGACACGTGGCCGACCTCGATCCCAGGCAATCATAACAGGCATAGGCACTAGCCGTTGACGTCACCAGCGCCGTGCAACGCCTGGGGGGCATGGCACTCCCACGAAGAAGAAAAAAGCACCCCCAAAATCCAATCCCAAACAAAAGCGTCACGCGCAGCCGACCCCGAGAATCGCGCGGCAGATCAAATAGGCGCCATTCGCGGAATACTCACCGGTACGCGGACCAGAAAAATCCCGCAAAGATCACGCAGGCCCGAGTTAATCGCGCTGAATATAGACAGGCGGCATTCGTGGAATACTCGCGGAACACCCACTTGTACGCAGACCAGAACTGCTCACGCAAAAGTCACGCGCAGCTGACCCCCCATAGAATTCCCGCGAAGACCACGCAGACCCGAGTCAATCGCGCAAAATATCAAACAGGCGGCATTCGTGGAATACCCTCTGATGGGGGGCAATTGTTGGGTATATGACTCGGATCTCGCTGGGCTAAGGAAATACCTCAAACGACGTTGCAGCAAGAACCAGGTGCGCCAGCACTGACGCAGCGTGACCGCAACCCGAGCACGCTAGTACCAGCGCGACCTTGAACATAGCCCGCGCCCGAACACCGAACGGCGACGTTCGGGTCAGGCGTTGACCAGACTAGGAAATCACGGAAACGACGCCGCGTTCTCCCGAGGAGTGGTCACCATCAGTCCTAATGACGCCCATTGATCTCTACGATTAGCTAGTGACAAACAATACATGATTGATCTCAAAACTCGGATAGAAGTAAAAGGATATATGGTTCCTTAGATTCTAACTCAATGTCATGACGGGTTCTTTCTCGTTTTTAGAGGTGCATTTGAATATAATCTATTGATTCAATCTGATTACCTCACTAAAAATGACAAATCTATTTCAATTCACTTAAATTTGAACCACTTAATCTGAATCCATATCAATTGGTGGATTCGTGAATTGTTAGAAAATTAAAATTTAGTATCTCTATTGTTTATATTTTCTAATTTGATACATAAATTATAATTTGTTAATGAAACATCATTGGAAAATTACATTATGGTATACCTAAAATTTTTATTATTGACATTTTAGTACCTGAAATTTTCAGAATATTCAAATCAGTCTATTGTTTATATGCCCACTTAGATCCATGAATTCACTAGTTCATTTTCCATCTCTGCTCGTCCCTTATGGATGTGATATATATATATACATGTAGTATCTTCTACGTACGGTTGTGACATCATAGAAGGTAGTGCTTTAATGAGATATTGTAACATTACACTTCGTGGATATGCTCCTACATATTTCATCATGTCATAATCCACAAATTTGTCATGTTTTATAGTTGACGCAAACCTGACCAATCGGTCAATTCCTCCATGATAATCAAACAAGGATGGTCGGAATAGTCACGTTGCTAAACATGCATGATACGTATGGTTTGCATCGTTACTAATTCGAACAACTTGTTGCTTGTCCAACAAGACCAAGTTAATCTACCATGATATAGTCGCTTGTGATTGACAATCCATCTTGTCATCACCAACATTGCCTATGTAGTACGATATACACGATGTCATCGACATCGTTCCGTCAATTCATCATATTCAACATGTTGCACCGACAAGATCAACATATCTTGTTGATACGAAGACTCCGAAATACACAATGACATTGGGCAATACATTGCTAAGAAGTAGTTCAGGCCTCGTCACTAGCAAATTGAAAGACTAAAAATCACCAATATAAGCTCCAACTGGTGGATTCCTTCTACTCGCAACTGGATTGCGGAAGTAGGAAAGCTATCTTTCCCAAAAACGAGGCTGCTATATATATATACCTTCTATTTTCTCAACATTATTAAACCATTAATCCCTTTAGTTTAATCCTTCTTTCGTTGTTTTGGTTGTTAATCATTGCTTTGAATCAACCTACATATAATTAACATTGACAGATAAGCTGACCAAACCACTACTCGAAGATGGTATCTAATTGATTTTAGACGTAACCCCTCTGTCGAGTGTCGACTGTTCTATGGACTGGATTGAACGGTTGAACCACTTCTTACCATCTCTGGGTTTTGGTCCCCCAAGATTCCTGATTTTGGTCATTTGGACGTCAAACCCACCAAAGAAATAATCAGCCACCAGCTGCCCCAGCCACCCAAAACTAATAAAGGCGTTTTAACTAACTTTAGCCATTTGGGAATATGATTACCTTGAGTAGTTAAAAGGAACATTTCATCTATAGTGAAGTTATGTATAATGAAGGTTGCATAAAAGTTCATAACTTTGTTATCTATAATGTCTGAAGAAGATGAAGTTTGGGGGGTTGTCGAATTGGTGGTGATGTCTCTCTCATCTCTGCACCGTTTCGAGTGACACTCAGTCTGTATTAATACAGCTAGCGCATAATAATTACCACGTTTATAGTTTTGGTTGCTCCTTTTGTAAAGATAAGTCTTCTTCTTTGCTTAGTAGGATATGATTTATAGGTTTTTGCTGGATGTACGATAGACCATCCATGCATACAGTCACATCATAAAATGTTGTTGCTATTGGGCTTAAGTGGGTGGTGATGTCTCTCTTATCTCTGCACCGTTTCGATTGACACTCAGTATGTTATTAATGCATTTGCTAGCACACAATAATTAACACGTTTATATAGTTTTGGTTGCTCCATTTGTAAAGATTAGTCTTCTTCTTCTTTGCATAGTAGGATAGGGTCTACAGTTTTTGCTGGATGTACGATAGAACCATCCATTCATACAGAAACTCACATCCTAAACTTGGTTGCATCGACACACGATCAGCAGCAACTATAGCTAGTTCATTTCATCTTCCTAATACCTGACAAAACAAAAATCTCACCCTTAATTTACATATAGCGATGTGTAGAGAATTGAATGAACACCACCCTAGCTTTCCAAACTAATCCACATACGTACACTAACCCCACTAATTGTTTTCGATGAAAGCAAGGAACTGAATGTGGCAATCCTCAACCACCCGAGTTATATATAATGAATTCTCTAGCTTGTAATTCCATTTTTGGTGAACAGTTTTTTTACTTACACAGGTTGGCGATGGAGATGACACCATCGTAATAAAGGCGCAGGAAAACTGAAAGGTCGATCTGTCGAGACTGAGGCTGACTGAACCAGAAATGAGCCAAAAAGCGTACGTCCGTCCGTCGGTTTCATTGATGGACAACAGGCATGCATTTATCTGATACTAATGTACTAGTACTGTCTGGAGCTGGTGGTGCTGCCAATTGATAGGAAACAACGAACACACTAGCTTATTATTGATTGGTACCACAATCGAATTCAATTGGGACACATATTAAGAGAAAAGAATCTAACGACGTTGGGGCAGCATTCAAGTCTTTTTTTCGTTGGGATGTCGGCATCGTAGAAGAAAGCTAAGCTGGCCGGAAGGAAGGAAGGACGACTTTCAGTATCCTCTGTGAATTGGATCCATTTTCAACTGATCTGAGATTTGGTTTGGGATGAAAATTGCCCTGACCTCCCGTCTTGACCCTGTCTGACTCGTTCTTGAAGGGTCAATATGTATAACTGATCCGTTCCGTCTCTATCTCCTTCTTAACCTTAAAGGGATGGGACGGGTCGATGGGTCGATCCTAATCTACAAACTACTTTTTTATAAATTACGTTTTGGTATCCAAAATTATTTTTTCTTGCAATTTAGTACCTAAATTTTATTTTTTACAAATAAGTCCTTAAATTTTGATGGTAAAATTACATTTTGGTACCCATTTTTTTATTTTTACAATTTAGTACCTAAGTTTTTAAAAAAATTTACAAAGAGGTCCACTGTGGTATGAGATATTAGTTGTTGCTAAGGGTCACAGGGTCAAAAAATGACCCGTCCTTAAATTGACCCGACCTGTCCCGACCCTTATAGAGTCAAAAGCTTACCCGTCCCTAGACTTCCCCTATGGACAAACTGACCCGTCTCGATCCTTAGAGACGGAACGGGTCGGGAGGGTCAGTGGGATTTTAAGGTCAAACTTACACCCTAGATTTGGTATAGCTACTTATTAGAGTTGGATAATGGACATTTATTAATCTAGCTCATTGAATCCAACTCATAGTAAATAGATAACAAAACAAGATTTAGTATACAAGCTAACAAGAATGTCATCGTTGTTATGGTCTCATTTGCTCGACCTATATTATTATATTTGTGTACATATAAAAAAAGAACACTACACCATGGAATCATCAACCCACCTCTCAATAATTAGTGATTATTGGCATAGTCCACTTTTTTTTTCTTTTTTCCACATGTTGCTCAGAACTCTGTAGCAGCTTTCTCGCTCAACCATTTTTTGTTTTTTATTTTTCTTCAATTTCACGGACCCCTTTTCTCTCTCTTTTTTTTTTTTTTTGGTATCCATTGCTTAAAGCTACAAAAACAATCGATATAAAACACCATAAACACGATAAAGCGCACCGTTTCACTTTATAATGTCCCTCACTTCGACATCGTTTCATCTTCTCTTGTTCCTTTCCCCGTGAATAGTTCTCTCTCTCTTCTCCTTTCCCCTTTTCTCTTTTCTTATAAAGCGTGTCCCTCATCCTCCCTGGCACCGCGCCACCGCCCACTCCGCTTAACCTCAACCACCCTCCACCCTCTCACCGCCAAATGCCAATGCCGCCTTCAATTCCGCCGGCAGCCTCACCACCGCCGGTGAAATTCCCCCCGTCAGTGCTGGAGTGGTGACTGAATCAACAGTGAGAAGCTTCATTCACAATTTCACATACACAGAGAGATAGAGAGAGAGAAAGTTGTTAAAAAATGGCGCAGAGCTTCAAGCTGAAGGTGCTAACTCTGATCACGAAGCTCTCCGACCGGGACACCTACGGCAGCGCCACCGAGCAGCTGGAATCGATCGCCGCCGCGCTCGACGGCGCCACCCTCCCGACTTTCCTCTCCTGCATCCTCTCCACCGACTCCGCCGACAAGGCATTGGTGCGGAAGCAGTGCCTCCGCCTCTTATCCCTTCTCTCCCTCCTCCACGCCAATTCACTCGCCTCCTTCCTCCCCAAGATCCTCGCCTACGTCACCCGCCGCCTCCGCGACCTCGACTCCTCCATCCGCTCCGAGTGCGTCGCCACCGTCTCCTCCCTCTCCGCCAAGGTCACAAAGCAGCCGTTCTCCTCCGCTTTCGTCAAGCCGCTCAGCGAGGCCGTGTTCACGGAGCAGGATTTGAACGCGCAGGTCGGATCCGCTCTCTGTTTGGCTGCAGCGATCGATTCGGCGGCGGATCCGGACCCCGGCCGGCTCGGCAGGGCGCTGGTCCCGAGGCTGGAGAGGCTGGTGAAGAGCGACGCGTACAAGGCCAAGAGCGCCGGTTTGGTCGTTCTCGGGAGTGTGATTGGAGTGGGAGGAGTCAGGGGATACAACGGGCTGAACGGCCTCGTGAAATGCTTGACCGGATTTCTCAGCAATCAGGATTGGGCCGCCAGAAAGGCTGCGGCGGAGGCGCTTGGGAGATTGGCGATTGCTGAGAGAGACGCCGTCGCCGAGTTCAAGACGGATTGCTTGAAAGTTTTCGAGACACGGAGATTCGATAAGGTATCTCCATTTCCGATTCCGATTCAGATTTGGGGGTTTTCATTCTCTCTTCGTTGCCAAACAGACATTTCTGAAACAATTGGAGCTGGTGTGTGTAGGTTAAAGCAGCTAGGGAAGTAATGAACCAGATGATTGAAGCGTGGAAACAGGTTCCAGATGTATCTGATGAAGCTTCGCCTCCTCCTCGATCTCAGGCTTCTTCTAGAGGTCAATAGTGTGCCAAAGTTTTGATTCCTTATTTCATTTATCAGCTTTGGTAGGGAGCCATTCGTTTATAGCAAACATGTGAAAGTCGAAAACCCATTTTGTTCATATCTGTTTGTCCAATGCAGGTCTAGTATTGCTACAAGTCCCTCTCAATTTTTCGCTGATTTGCTTGCCTCAGATTTCGGTCGATTAGATGTCGTAACAATGTTCGATCTTTGTACTGGGGTTTTGCAGATGATGCAACTGATGGGCACACCCCACCTCCTGGATCAAGAACAAGAGGAGTTTTAACTGCTAGATCAACTCCTCCTCCTATTAGGAAAAGAGCTCCTATGAAGAGTGGTGACAAGAGCAAGAGTCCGGCTATGAAGAAGCCCTTGGAAACTTCTGCAGTCTCCAACAGTTCTTTCAGTGGATACGATGATGCTGGCGTGAAGCACAGGATTGATGATGAACCCCACACTAAGTTGATGAGGCCAGGCACAAGGAGAGCTTTGTTTGGTAAGAATTCAGACGAAAAGACAGTGATGGACAGTAGTGCCAACTTGACAGTTGTTAGTCAATCCGTTGAGAATCACCACCATCACGGGAATCACAAAGAATGTGAGGACTTGACTTTGATCCGCAGCCAGCTTCTCCAGATCGAAAAGCAGCAGTCCAGTCTGCTCGATCTCCTCCAGGTTAGTTTCGCCTGCTCGAGAGCTTTCTCGTATGCACTGATAATCGAGTTGGTTGGTCCATGATGGTAGAGTATCTAATTTGTTCTGTTTGTACTTTGTAGAGGTTCATTGGGAGTTCCCAAAACGGAATGCAGGCACTGGAGTCACGAGTGCAAGGGCTGGAGTTCTCACTGGACGAGATCTCATATGACCTGGCTGTATCCACTGGGAGGATGTCCAACAACGCCCATGGAAGTGCTTCCTGCTGCAGAATACCTGGTGCAGATTTCTTCAGCTCCAAGTTATGGCGGAAAGCAGATACCCACAATCCAACTCCCCGGCTCTCTTCATCAAGAGGCATCTCGTCATTGGCCGGCATGCGCCCCATGGCTGGTGGTAGGACAAGCAGCGTCGAGACCTTCAACCTGGACAACTGCAGGCTCCGCCTTCAGCACCGCGGTGGATTAATTGTGAATCCCCTTGCAGAGATTCACGACTCTCGTCGGGGTCTCGCTGCTGCTGGGCAACAGTAATAGTTCACTGGATCCAGCAGGTAATGAAGTAAATTGGTTTCAACCATGTTCATTATTCTTCTTCTTCACGTTAGCTTCTAGTCCAATATCTCTCTGTAACGTGATGCTGCCCCAATTCTCCATGACTGACCTCCTAATTCACTACTCGACCTGTGGCAGTTGCAGGCTCGCTCTGTCTATCTTTTAGGCAGATGCAGAGTCACAGCTGGATGAGTTTGATTAATGGACGATGGAAAGTTTTGCTGGGTTGCAGATGAAAGATTAGTTTCTATTTCCGTTCCATGTGGCGAAAGAGGACCAGAAGCCAAAGCCGGTTCTCGAAAGGGTCGCCTTCTTTTGGCGTTTTGTTAGTAAAGAAATTTCTTGGCATTTGCTGCACGCACGAGGGTTGCGGGGTTTCCCTAACCAAGAGAGTGCAGACTGCATAGCTTGGCGTGTTATTATTTGTATAGAGATAGCCGCAGCAGCAGTAACAATGTCTGTTCTTATTTTGGCGTGTTCTTCATCGGTGTTTCCACTGACTGGTTGGTTTCATGGTTGAATCATTTGTTACTTCATTTTCTGTATGTACCTTCTTTCTCTTCGGCTAGAGTTCTTTGGGAAATTTATAATTTTCAGAACACGAATCTGTATCCAATATGGAGCTTGATATCAGACTGATCCCAGATACAGATTTGGCTCAATTTTGCTATTGTGCTCACAGGGCACCTGTGACAACATTGCTCTTAGCACCTCGCGTACGTCGGATCGGGGGCGGATACTCCGCAACCGTCGGATAAAATGCCAGCACGTCCATCCAACGGCTTTGCTTTCGACTTGACAGGCACAAGATTTTGTAAGCACGTATTCACAGACACCTTATGAGCAACATAGTCGAATAGGATTTGGCCGCGACTTAAGTGTCTACTGCTAGCTCAGCTACATTATGGCAGAATTCTCGACAGTCTAGCGTCAACATGTCTTCTTTTCACATCATTTCAGTAGCAACATGGGTCTATACGTACGTCCACTCGACAACGATCATTCATGCCACGGTAAGTGGGTAGGTAAACCAGTAAAAGAGGAGCCCAAAACCTATTTTGTGTGACGTGTCAGCCACGTCACAATCAGCCGTGAGATTCACAAAGGGGCTAATAACGTAAAGAACTCTCAACTCCAAAGTCGCAACTCATTACAATGAGAAAATTATGTAAAGTCTAAAATATTAAACCATACAAGAACTTGCGGATGATGTAAGCAACAGGTAGTTTTATTCATTCAAGTTGTTGTCAATCAATCCACTCTTTCGAAACAAGAGAGGCAAGTAACAGTTGGTTTGGAGAACATACTTCATAAAGAATACAAAATCTCCAGCTTGCTGATCTAAACCCAACAGTACAAGCCTAAGATTCCCGTCATTACACTCTCTGCTCCAAAGATTGGAAGCAAGGTAGCGTTAACGATTACACTTGGTGAAGGCTTTATGATATCACTAACCCGGGACTTCCGGTGATGAAGATCATCCAGCCAAGGACGTGGATAAGGATTTCATGCTGATTGCTCCTCGGTCGCTTCCTTCTCAAGCTTCTGCAAGAACACGGCAGTTCAAGTAATCGGTCAATCACAGGACTTACACCATGTACACGTGTATCTTTTGTCTAGTTATCAGATGAATCAGCAAGGCATCAAGCTCAACAACAAAGAGTAAACAACGATGAAGTCCTCAGCAGTATAGGCGTAGTAACATGAAATACTTCGAATCTATGACAACCAGCAAAGTTATTGTTCAAGATAGCTTGATACAAAGAAACAAGTGCATAGCTAACTGTTCACCTCTTTTGCAGCAAATTCTTTCCTATAACTGAACAGAACTGAACAATGCTTCCACAAACACGTCTTGTATAATAGAATGCAACCCAGGAGGGACTAACCAAACTGAACACATCCAAGTTCTTAATTGTTGCTTTCCTCTGGGCAAGCAAGAGGAACCCAAAGAGTAATGATCCATACTGAACCCATTCACCTAAAGCAATCATATGGGGCAATTGGCAACAAGAGCGAAAAGATCAATGCTACTGGCCATCAGAAACTTGAAAGATGGCAGTCGCATTTTCCAAATTCAGCCCAAATGAAAAGGGCGGACTGGAAAGAACAATACACCCACTTTTGCCCCAATCTGGTTCTCATGAATACAGAAACGACCTAAACCCTAAGCTAAAAAAAGTGATTAGGGATGAGGGTCCGCATAACATATCGGAATCAAAGTCGTGAACAGGGGAAGAATCAGGCGAAACGAATAGGGATCTGTCATTACCAGATCACAGGCACAGCAGGAAACAAGAATTCATCAGAGGCAATGGGAGTAGCGACGGGGTTTTAGGTTTAGGAGGGGTTTTACCGTCTGCGCCTTGTGCCAAGAGAGACCGCGGTAAACGTTGACGGAGAAAGTGGCGGTTAAGTAGACGGTGGCGACACCGAGAGCCGCCGTGAAGCCCTTGAACGACCAGTCCGCTGCTTTGCTCGCTATTCCCATCTTTCTTCTTCTCTGCTCTGCTTCTCGCTGTGTTTCGTTTTTCCTTTCTTCTTCTCTCCCTCTCTAATCTCTATCTTTCATTACAGCCTGAAAGGTTCGTTAAATACAGGGTTTTAGGTCTTTTTACGTTTCTACCCACCACTTTATTGAAAGGGCTCTTTTAGTCCCTGAAGTTTCACGATCTCATAGTCGTTGTAAATCCCCAAAACTTATGTCTCTCCATGTAATGCCCCTAAACTGTTCGACAAGTTTCAAAGAAGCCCTTTATAGCTACATTGCTTCTTCGTTATAAAGGAACGGTTAAACTGGTGGGATTTTGCCCCAGGTAATTAATTGGTGTGTTTTCCCCTCATCTTTTAATTGGTGGGATTATTCTTTTAATTCCGAATAATTAAGTTGTAATTTTAATTTCAAATGGTTTTACTTTTACAATTACATTTAAAAAATTATACAATAATTAAGTTGAAATTTTAATTTCAAATGCTCGATATTATAAATTACATTAATAATCCTCAAAATTTGAGCTCGCTATAGCAACCTCCAAATTCCATACGATTATTTCTTATTCATACAATCTCAATGCTCATAGATACCCTCATATTGGACATGGGAACCAAGTCCTAGAAAAAGGGATGACAATCTCGATCAGACACACTTTACTAGATCTGTTTGACTTGTTTTAGAGCAACTAATACCCATCCCGTAGGCGGGGCGGGGCAAGCATGAGTACTCTACTCGGCCTGACCGCCTTGTTCTCAACTCGTTATTTACCTCATATTTTAGTTATAATAAAGCTGTAAATATGTGAAAAACTCAATTTCTAGAATAATTTAACTACATTTATTTGGTTATATTTCGTATTTTTATTTTTTTAATAAAAATGAATATTTATAATGTTTTCCTTTTAAATTACATTTCATGGATCGACTTGTCACGACACTAACTCCTGATAAATCATCTAACCTACCATAGAACACAACGAATATGAATATCAAGAAACCAACTCGACCTCCCATTGCCATTGCCATTGCCATTGCCATTCCTGCCCTGCTGAATTACAACAAGAATAACTTCAAGAGATTACCCGCCACTGTGACAGACCGAAGGGAGAGGGGAAAGAAATGCACTTAACAACGTTTGTGTTTCTGTAATCAACAAAAGGTATCTATATTTATATATATGCTATGCCTACAGAGGGGGAAAATTACAACATATATGAGAAGCAATAACAAGAATCGTCTTGAAACCAATGGTAAATTCCCCCACCCTCTCCTCTTCTCCCTCGTTTCTTAAAGAAACAGTAAACAGAACATAAAGAAAACAAAGCTAGATGGTCGGTCATCTTAGCTCTTTCTCCCACCATGTAAGAGTTAAAACGGATGCACATTTGCTACCTTGAGACAAGAATGAACACTCAGGCAGCTGGTAACCGGCTTTTCTTTACTTCAAACCCCTACCCTCCGACTCCAGCAGCTGGATCTCCATCCTTCCTTCCTAATCCAATTTCTTCTCCGACGAACTCGCAAGCTGTGATTCCTGGCAAAAACAAACAAGTGCATCAGAAATACTATGCTGTTGAAGTTCTCGTGCTGCAAAAACTTAAGCCGTGAACCACGCTTAAGTTCCACGGTACAAGGGGAGACAGTATTTGCAGGGAGCTGGAGGAAGAAGGAACCATATTCCGTGACAGGCTGAAGAAACACATTACAAAGGGTTGATCAAGCCCAAAAGAAGTACTCATGCCTTCTGCCTCGTCTTTTCCCCTTCTGTGTTTAAACATATGCTACTTAGTTTCTTTACTCTAGCATTCTCCATTTACTCCTGTTTCCAGTAGGCACAAGTTAAAAAGACAGAAACGAACTCCACGCCCCCTATTCGATGTTCTTGGTTGTGGCAACTCTTAACTAACATGATAATCTAAGGCAGCAGTGCATCCATTCACAACCAATAGAACTAGAAGATAGCACAGATATGTGCATGATTTCCAAAATCAAGAGCGATGTAAAATCAACCAACCTCACAAGAAACCTGGTCCAGCCTCTGACTGCTGCTAGCCAATTGGGTGGCCAAGCTTGAATGGAAATCCACTGAACCATCTTCCTTCTCAACCATCCTTCTCTTCAGAAGGCCATCCTCGATCGACGAATTCCCATCACAGGTGCTAAGAGAGTCTTTCTTCCGTTTCCTTGTGAAGGTGTACTTTATGAACTTGTTACTTACCGGCTGTGCAGGAATCGAATCAGTTGCTTCTTTTAGTTCCTTGGGCTCTGAGTTTTCTGCCAACGAGACAATGGCAATCTCATTATCTGATTTACTAGCTACAACCTTGGGACACTCCACAGACTTAACATCCTCCTCCATGCCCACCATTGACATCTCATCATTGCTTCTGGTCGTTTGGACCGAACAAGCCCTAAGAGAAAACCCTGCATTATTTTCTTCCCCAACTTCTGCCAATCCAGACTGTATGCTCGATTCGTTCGACTCTGGAATTTCTTTTCTTCCAGACACATCAAATTCAGGATCTTTATCCTCAACTCTCACAGGATCATCTCCAAATTTAGCATTGCTGTTGTCTGGATTCTGATCAAGAAACCTCCTAAAACATACATTCTGCTTTCTATATCTATTGGCTCTCTTCCGTTTCCTGCGGAAAGACTTCAAGGCATAAGCTCGAATAGATTCGGATTCAGTCTTTACTTCATCTTGGTTATTCTCCATACCAGGTGCAAGTTCATGCTTTGGAGCAAGTTTTTGACATGTATGCTTCTCGTCCTTGTGATTTTTTCCACCATTACCCTGACCAGTAATGGCAAGAGTTCCACCCAAGATATTTCCTTCCAAAGCACGGATTCTGTGAGTGCATCCATTTTTGTACAGCTCGGGCTCTTTGCTTCTTATCATTATGGAAGCAAAATCAGGATCACAGACAAAGCAAATGTCCTTATCAGTACCAGTTTCCATACAGTGTTTGTTCTGGTGGTCATTGTATGTGCCCTTCGAAGAAGAATTTGTAATGTCAATAGTTGGAGCAGGGTCAGCCTCAAGGGCAGGTAAAGAGGAGACCACAGGAACAGAAGTGCAAATTATGTTCTGCTCCAATGTTGTCGTCTCAAGAGTATTATCAGAGCCAGGGCTTCTTTCACACAAGGGTTGCACTTGATTGGTTGTTAATCTCTCCAACTCATCCTGCAGTTCTCTCAACTCTGCTCTAAGATCTTTAACTATATCCTCAGCTTCCCCAAGCTGTGCTTCTAGCTCATCAATCCTTTTCTGTTGATTCGATGATGTGATTTCTGCTTCACTGACCTGAAGTCATGGAGTAAAGTGAATTAAAGTACACGAAAGGGAGAGTAAAATGTTGGGACATAGATTCACACCAATGAGTATAGGGGTTTAATCAATGTTAGACAATACTAGCTATGCTTTCAGCAAACATAATCATTTAGATCAGTAAAAAATTACATTGGAAAGCCAAATTCCAAGGCAAAAGACAGATGTTTATCAGCCAATGTACTAAGTGAGGCATTGCACTGGTTTATATGCTTCCATAGCTTTATAAGTTTCCAAATTGGACACACTGCTAAGAACATCAGATTACTTATAAACTATTTACAAGTAAAGTGCTCAACCTGAATGTCAGAATGTTCGAGACAAAAATAACTACATCCGAATTGCAAAATGGTACTCTTAACCAAAGACTATCAACCCTTGAACACCTTTCACAGCTCAGGACATTACACCTTGGTGAGGAAGCTAATATGATACGGAAAAACAATAACCACTCGGTTCAGCAGTCGAATCAACACAAATTATCTTTCGCCACCTTAACCAAATGATCAATGCTAGAATGAAAGTCACAAGAGCCAAGAGCAATGCCTTGTTTTGTAAGTGCAAACAAAGCTAAAGAACCACAGAGAACCATAAACACCGGGACAAAACCTATTCGCAGTTGCCTACGAGAACACTCTACAGTTCCACCCCCATTAACTGCTACTCCTTACTACCAGAAATGAACCAAGCAAAACAGACCAATGCAGCTCGAATTTGGGACCTTGATCGTCAACAAACCATCTGTAAATATAAAGAATGAAACAGAAACCAAGAACATAGGAAAACAAGCTCCATTTGAAGTACATAACCATAACCCCATCCCAAACAGAATTTCCACATCCCAAAACCTAATATGCAAAAAAACGTTGAAGAAATCCGCAATAACGATCAAAACAGAATCGAGAGGCAGTGTCATTGTCCAAAGAAGCTGAAGAGGCTGAAGCTTGGACAGCAAAACGGAAGAAAACAAAAAGGTCAAAAAGAAAGAAGGGAAACCGTTATTACCTTAGCATCCAACATCTGTTTGAGCCGGAGAAGCATCCGCAACGCGTCGTCCTTGGCCGCGAAGAGCTCCCGCTGGTACCGCTGAGCTTTCCTCTCCGACACCAATACCCTCGCCGCCGCCTCCTTCGCCGTGTTCAGTATGATTTCGGCATAGGCCTTCTTCAACGCGGTCAATTTCTGAGCAACCGGAAAACCGTCAAAGATCAAAAACCAGAAAGACTGTTAACTATCGCAATCAAAAACAGCAAACCATCTGCAAATTTCAAAAAAAGTGATTTAAAAGAAGAAAACCGAATCATCGGAACTCCCGGCTCCCTCCAAACGCGCCGAAACAGCATTGGAACTCCGACTGAGGCTGTCACGGCGGTGGTGGAGTAAGCGGCCGGGAAAGGTTATTTTACCTCGGAATCGGCCATTTTTAGCGCGGCCGGGAATGCATAGAGATGGAAGAAGAAGTGTTAGTTAGTTGGTGGTGAAGACCTCCCAAGTTGTTAAAGGCGAAAAAAGGAGGTTCCGTTCTTTTCTTTTATTTTATGTTTTCCCTTTCTCTTCTCCCATTTTTCTTTTTTTACTATTAATTAATTTCTATAATATTTCCCTTTCTCCGCAAGCAGCTGTCTGTTACGAAGTACGAACTGAAACTCCCCCACAGTTACGAAAAAGCCCCTGCAGTTCATGCTCTTTACCTTTCTCCACACCACGTCCCAATAACGAAAGCAAAACGCCGTTAGTCCGTTACCCGCCGGACCGGAGTTGCTGACTAGGCAACGACGTGGCCGAATGTATTAAGGAGTGACACGTGGCGAAGCGCATGTAGTGGTTCGTGTGATGATGGCAGGGGATTGGGCGCGTTGGGAAGCGGGAAGGGGGGGGACTACGGTAGGCCGGTAGGGTGAGAAGCAGGTGATTATTTGGACCGTTATTCTTGATGTGGGAAACGGAAAGGGAAAGCAGGAAAAAAGGGTGAAAGGAGCGCGGATTCGTGTTGAGGAGGGAATAAAAAAAAAACTGTCAGTTGACGGGGGGCACTTGGCTCGTCAACGTCCGTTAACGGGTTCTGGGAGGGAGAATGGGAGATGGATGGCGGGGACAGACAGTAACGAAGAATAAACGGAGCAGGGTGCGACATTTGGACGACGGCGACGGGTGGTTCAGTTAAGTCTAACAACATTGTGGCGCCAAAACTAGGGTGAAGTCGTCAACTCAACTCCCCCAGCGACCGAGGGCCTGTAATAAGAAAAGCCCAATATCTAGGGCCGAGGCCCATCATTGCCAAAGGTCCATAAAGCCCACACTTCACTCGGGCGAGGCCCATCATGACTCATGGCCAAAGATCATTGGGCGCCCACAAGTTGGTGTTTTTTGTTTCAGGTTTTTTCATTCCGTTAATGGAAGGAGTTAGTAGTGGAAGAAGAAGCTCTTGTGGTTTGGTGAGCACCAAGGTTGTCAGCTCGCGGGTTGACCCGGATCCGGTCGAGTTAGTGGATCAAGGGTTAATGGGTCAACCGTTTTAACCCGGTTTGGCCCGGAAATATGGAAAAAGTCATTATATTGAACTTATCCTCGTAAATTATATCAAATCTTATCTAACATATGAGTTATAACATATAATATTACACCAAAATAACATATCGTACTTAGATCCAACATATAATGAAAATTCACACACACTTATATAACATAAATATTCAAATGTTCAACTTAGGATTCCAAAGATTGAGTTGGGCGAAAAGAAAAATCGGAAAATAGACGCATTTCGCAAATCAAAGGAAAAAATGACATAATTTGACCTCCAACCCGGTACCTTATAGCGGTCGACCCGACGGGTGCGTGCGGTCCGTTTTTCTCATCTGGTCAGGATCAAACTGGATCGACCCGCGGGTTGACAACCTTAGACTGAGCACTGAGCAATCTCCATCTGAGGTAAAATTATTAAATTATCATTATCCCACTGCTCCCCATTACCTACAGGTAAAAAGCACCACCATTATTCGTCCATGTATACATCCATTTTCCTTGGTGCTGGGTGATATATGCACCCAAGAAAATTTCCTTTGATAATCGTTGCTGTTGTTGTTGTTGTGTCACATCCAACAGTTTGCAGTTTAGTGCAGAATTCACTATTTTTATTCACAGGTTCTTTCCAACTTAGGGTGCGTTTTAGTTTTAAGTGCAGAATTCATTATGGAAGGAATCTGGATCTTGATCTTAAATCTTCTTATTCCTTTGCTCCCACTGGGATTGGTGGTTATGATTATAGGGTGAGGTTGTCTTTTGTTATTGGCCTTTCCAGCCCCACATAAGGAGAAAAAAAGGTCTCTCATTCAGCCCTGCAAGAAAAAAGGCTTCTTTCTGCTTGCATGCCAACAATTGGTTGGGAGGATCCTGTTTTGATTTTTCATGATTTCAAGCTTTGTATAACACAGAAAGTTTCCTTCTTTCATTACAAGCATTCATCAAAATTTCCAATTTTAGTAAAAAAAGGTTCATTCTCGCAATTGGTGGAGCAACACTCAAATCTACCGGTATCCCGGGTAGGTTAGTGGTGCTCGATATGATGGATGAGTTGGCAGATTCTTGCTGGAGTAGAGATGGTGTATATATTGGATTTGTTGGGAAGAAATCAAGGTTGTCAACCCGCGGGTTGACCCGCGGATCGACCCACTTTGACCCTGATCTGGTGAGAAAAACGGGCAGCACGCACCCGTCAGGCCGACCGCTACAAGGTATCGGGTTGGAGGTCAAATTGTGTCATTTTATTCATTGGTTTGCGAAATGCGCCTATTTTCCGATTTTTCTTTTCGCCTAGCTCAATTTTTGGAATACTAAGTTGAACATTTGAATATTTATGTTATATAAGTGTGTGTGAATTTTCACTATATGTTGGATCTATATACGATATGTTATTTTGGTGTAATATTATATGTTATAACTCATATGTTAGATAAGATTTGATATAATTTATGAGGATAGGTACAATATAATGACTTTTTCCATATTTTCGGGCCAAACCGGGCTAAAACGGTTGACCCATTAACCCTTAACCCACTAGCTCGACAGGGTCTGGGTCAACCCGCGGGTTGACAACCTTGGAAGAAATCAAATGGTGAAATTGTATTAGAGGTTGTAGTAGAAAAGTTACTAGTATGATATTGATGAGTCTTCATTTTAGCTTTAAGTATTTGTTATATGAAGTGGAGGATACCTTCAAATTGATTTGTCTCTAAGTTTATATTTCTTGATCCAAGCTAGGGGTGGGCATTGGTGCGGTTCGCACCGCACCGCACCGCTTTGATACAAACCGCACCGCACCGCATATTAATTGGACCGCACCGCATGTTGGACCGCAATATAATCGGTGCGATCAAACCAAACCGCATAGGTTAGCGGTTTGGTACGGTTTAGCCCGCACCGCAGATTTGACCGCAATTCATAATGAAACAAATAGAAAACAGAAAACAGATAGCACAAGTCGATTCCATTGACAACAATCCAGAACAAAAGTCAACGCATAATTGAAAAGATGTAGTTCTGGAGACAAGCTCCTGCTGGAGAACGATAAGGAAAAGGAACACAACCTAATATCCAAATGGCAACAGTCTTGGCTTGCCCTCTTGGGCTAGAAATACATTAATCCCAGTTATCACTACGTCTTCCACACACAACATGAACTTCAAACACGAATTACTCTAAATAAAACAAAGCCAGAAGCACTAGCTAGTGGCCATCATCCTACAGCATCCTGTTTTAAGAAATGAAGGACTTCAGATTCGGGCAACTCTCAAGCAATCCCATGGCTGCAAACGGATCCTTATAACCCCATACCACCTCTGCCACCTGTAAAACGGATATAAAACGTTTCAGATTCTGATCACTTTGAATGAATGGTTTAGGATGGACAAGCAGATCACAACTCTGTATACAGCGAGCCTCGATTGTATATAACAAAAACAGTAATGCTTGCCAGAATTTGATTAAGTTTGGTATCCAGATGTTTGAGAGCATCTTTCATTTCCTCGCTGAGAATTGGAAGAAGATCCAGCAACAAAAACAGTAACAAAAACAGTAATGCTGTCAACGGAAGGAAGTTGATGAGCACCTAATGTTGATGGATCTCTGAGAATTGGAAGAAGATCCAGTTTCTGTGCTTTCTTCTTAACTAAGTAGCTGTGCTTTCTTCTTAGCAAAACAACCCACAAAGAAGAGAATGAATAAGATTATTAGATCAATTACCTGACGTGTTTGCGTTTGCTTGTATAATAGGACTCGTACGAGGGGTATTGGTAAAAGGAAGTGGAACATCAGAGATGTTAATAGCCTTCAACACCATGCTCAACTCTGAAATTCATAAAATGTCACCATCAACTTGAGCATTAAACAAAACTAATAGCATTTTTATTCTAAGAAAGCTTACCTTCATCAATATTGTCGATCTCCTCTGAGTCTTCTTCAACTACACATGGACTAGAGTGTGCGCGGAGCCAATCCTGATTACAAATAAGGGCCTCCACAATCTTAGGAGTCAAAGAACTCCTAAAATCATTCAGTACTCTCCCTCCAGTGCTAAAAGCCGCTTCAGACGAAACTGTAGAAATAGGGATAGCCAATACATCCCTTGCCATCTGAGACAAAGTTGGAAACCTGTGGCTGTTTACTTTCCACCAGCCTAGCACATCAAATTTGGGATCCATTGATCTTTCGACTTCCTCGTTCAAATACCTATCCAACTCAGTTTTGTTGACTACACCTCTTTCTTTTTGCAATTGCTTCATATACTCCGCAATTAGATCCACGTTTCCACCATCTTCATCTAGTTCTGATTGAGAGGAGGATGAAGCTTCACCTACTTGATTCTCATAATGAGCATACAACTCATAAGTAGCGTCCTCAACATCACTTGTCAAATCACTAGCCGATTTCTCATCATCATACATCCACTTGAGAGCGAAACCAATAAAGCGCAACTTTCGCCGTGGATCTAAAACGGCAGCTATGTACAACAACTTGTTCATCTTGTCAACATCTCCCCAATACTTCTCATATTTCTGTTTCATCTTCGTTGCCATGAAGCTTAATTGGTAATCCTCATTGCTTACAACCATCCAACTCTTCAACAAATTGTACAAATTCCCAACTTCAGGAAGAAACAAGTTGGAGGTTATGTATTGTGAACCAGAAACTTTTAAAGTAAAGTGATAAAACTGCTCCAAGAATTTCATCATTCTTCTAGCACTCTCCCAATCATGTATATCAGGTATTCCACTCTTAGCTTCAAGATCATTTTTAAACTGCTTATCTGACAATCGATAAAGATCAAAAGCATGCTCATACTTCACAGTAGATTGCAACATCAAAAAGGTCGAGTTCCACCTCGTTGGAACATCAAGACACAAGCCACTTTTGCTTGTATTATCAAGAGCAACAAAATTATTGAACTTTTGAATTCTAGCAGGTGATTGCCTAATAAATCTCACAGCCTCCCTGATTC